CTCAGGTAGGATCAGGGCATGCATGTTTTGAAAAGCTACCTAGGTGATTCTGATATACAACCCCAGTATGAACTCTGTTCCAGGAATTTCACTGGCTCTAAATACTCACTTGCCTCTACCAAGATGCTTATCTTCTTAAACTAAGTTGCGTTTATTTTAGGTTATTTGTTGTATCAGTTACTGTGAAATTACCCCCAGCTGTTTTTAAGCTTGTTGTTCTTTCAGTTTGACACCCTGGGATCCCAGGTGTCATATTTGCTAATGTCATTCATAATTTCACATAATTTTGAGCTTTAGCTTTTATCATCTGCAAAATGGGATAATTTTTATTCCGTTTTTATGAAGAACAAATTTAAAAAGATCACATGAGAAATGATAAAATGCTTTAAAACAGTGTTATAATTACTGTAATTAATATTTTTTCACTGAATAATTAATGCTGTTTCCTAATTTTAGCTATAAGTTTTTCATTTATAGTGTGTCTATTTCTGACAATTGATGATCCATTTTTAACTTCTATTTCAGTGTAATTTCTTTTTTCCTCTTACAAACTCATACTTTATTAGGTTGGCATTATGTTTTAAAATAGCACTCTGTTTGCATAAGTGCAGATGGAAACATAAATATATCTTGCAGACATTTTGGCTATATTTCAAATGTTACTTTAGTCTGTGTTGGCTTTTTACAATATTATTCAAAATATAGGGATCAATACCAGCTCATTAATTAAAAGTACAGTAATCAGTTTGTATAGAACCAGTTTTGAAGACTTTTTAGGGCTTTTCAAAACTTTAGTGATTTGAGATAGTCTTAGTTAAGAGTATTCATTTTTCTTAAAATTCCCTGATTTATATTTTACCTCCTCCACTCCACGTGAGATAACTACATTTCAGCACTTGTTTATCTTCAGGAAGACTTGCACTTCAAAACAGGGTATTGAGGAAGGAAGTAACTGGAACATTGTACTGATGCATGATATAAATGATTTATAGCTGGGAAATTTTTAAAAAACATTAATACATATAAATAAATCAGAATATCAATGGGTATGAGGAATATGAAGATGTAGCCATTCTAGTATACGTACAAAGCACTTTTTTTTTTCATAGTCATGGAATCTGTTGAAGAAAATCTGATTAATCATGATTGCACAACTTACACAAACAAAAAGATCTTTAGATTTTTATTCATTCATTTAACAGGTACTTTATTTATTAAATATCTGTGTGCAAGGCACACTGATGAGTAAGACACAGTTCCTGCCTTCAAGGAGCTTGAAGAAATAAAACAAGTAGCTTTTTTTTCAAGTAGAAATAGTTAGTCTTCCCTAAATTATAGTTATTTGGAATAATTGCCATAAACAAAACACTGTGCTAGTTTAGAGGAGAAGGAGATTATTTCCAGCTGGGGAATGTTGAATATTACAATAAACTCTGGTTGTTAGTAAGATTTTTTACCAATAAAGCCTCTACAGTAGGAAGAATAGATTTCAAGGGTTTTTTGAAGTACTTGGTGTTATATAACTAATATTTGTCATTTTTATAATTAAAAAATATTTCAAAAATGTTTTATTTAATCTTTTAACCAATGCTTTTCTGTTCTCTTGTGTATAGACTTTTTCATAAACACCTTCTAACTTAAGGGAGTATGTGACCAATGAAATTATTTGAATTCTCACTATGAGCCGAGCACTTTTGTTCACACTCCTCCCCCAAAAGTTAGCCACTTACCATTAATGATGTCATTCTATATGAAATTCCCACCAAGACACCTTTAAATAAGTAGTGGGCAGGGATTAATTCGACCTTTAGTTTAACCACGTAAGTGATTTAAGATATCACTTAAAAATTACTGTTGAGTATTTTGAGTTATTGCAAGGAAAATGTACTTTCCTAAAAATATTGTTACAAGGATATATAAACATGTGAAATATTTAGAATTGAAATGTGAATTTCAATTACTTAAAATATAAAAAACATATACAGATATGAAATTATGAAATACTCATCTGCATGCCTTACATTTTTCAGTAAAGTAGAAATAAGTATTATGAAGTTGATTAAATTAAAGTCAATTTTTTTCCTATTTGTCTTTTGAATGAACAAATAGGTAGTAGATTCAAACACAAGGAGTCTGAACCAAGCAGAATAAAATGAAAGGTAACAGTAATACTTTACTCAGTAACCCAAAGTAAAAACTATGGAGCCATCATTGATTCTTTTTCTTAATCCTAATGTTCAGTCAGTCACCAAGTACTGTAAATTTTAATCTCTTAAATAAACCTTCATTCCTATTATCACTACCATATTTCAGGGATACCCTCATCACTGCCCACCTTATCGTAACAGCCTCTGACACTGATTGCCTTGCTTTCTCTTTTTAACCTGCTCATTGCCACCAGAATTCTTAGTTTAAAATGACAATTTGATCATATACTTCCCCTGCATAAGACCATTCACTGACTCTCTGATACTCATAGAATGAAATCCGAATTCCCAAATGTACTCTGTCTTTTGGTTTTCTTTCTAAGGATGGAAAATGCACGCCAATTTCTTTGGGGCTATATTCGTGATTCTTAAACTCTTCTCTTCCTTTGGGGCTGTGTCTTCTCTGCCGGTACACCTTTGGACACATTGCTCCCTTTCCCTAGAATGCCTCCCTGCCTGCCCCCCTCCTCCCTCCTCCCTTTCCATTCTTTTGCCTCATTAACTCCTTTTTTTCTTTGGTATATAGTTAGGCCTTACTGACTCTTGTTTTTATTATCATTTTATGCAGAATTTTATTAGCATAAACAAAATTTTGTCGCTTCTGTAGTCTAACAAATTTGTGTTGTTTGTTTCACTGTTCTGTAAAATCCTTAAAAGTGACAGTTGTGATACCTTAATGGTATCACTATAAATCATTGTTTTCGAGAAAGCATCTGAAATAATTGACACTGTAACTTGTATATGAGTTGTTTGGTAAGAACTTAATACTTTATTTCTGATCCTCACAACAACCCAACGAAATAGTACTATTATTATTCATTTTATAGAATGGGAAGTTTAATAACATTTCCAAGGTTTTCATTGTTAAGGTTTGGCTGGGTAGGATCCAAAAGGCCTCTTCCCCATAATGCACTGATAAGACCCACTGTGTTACCCTTTCTGAAGATTAGTTTGCATTCTAATACAGGAAAAGTCTATAATCAAAAAATGGGTATTTGATTTTAATATATAGGCTGAAGTGAATAAAAAAAAATGGATAGATAGTTATGGCAATTTAGAAATCACCAAACTGATTGAGGGAGGTTTTTACCCAATGGAAGTTGTCTTCATGTGTCTGAAGTAAAGACACATTGCTGTGTCCTCTATTTTTTAAGCACGCTTGAGTGTCTTCATTGAACTTTTGTTTCCACAATTTGGATAAGAGATGATAGAGGTGTATATATTTTAGACAATTTTATTGACATATAATAAATTGCACATGCTTACAGTATGCAGTTTGGTAAGTTTTGACACATATACAACCTTGACATCATTACCACGATCAGGATATTTAACATACCCCTCATATCCCAGTTTCCTCATCCATTCCACACCCCTGACCGGCTTTCTTTCATTATAGATTAGTTTATGTAGTCTATGATTACATATTTATATCGAATCATACAGTATGTGCTCTTTTCATATGGTGCCTCGCTTAGCATAATTATTTTGAGATTCACATAGGTTGTGTGTATCAGTTCATTCTAAAGTTGCATATTTTGAAATATATTTGTTATAGAAAGTAAATAATTTTCTTTTGTTATATCTTATACTTTAGAAAAGGTTTAGATGAGATTGACTGAAAATTATGCTGAGCCTAAAGTCCCTTCTGGAACTTGTTTTGATATACTATATATAAGTCCATTGACATTCCAATGGAGATATAAAAATCTTACTTATCCTTCTGCAAGGATTTAAATGCATTTTCATTTTCAGTATGGTCTTTTAGTCCACTATTAAGAGGCTAATGTAAAATCAAGCAGTTAAACTCACTTTTGGAGTACAACACTGTACTTCTGAAGACTTTCTTCTTGGGTCTTCTGGGGAAACCTTGGAAGAAACCCTTCTGTTTGGTCTCATGTGAGAAGTGGGTATCCCTGAAGTGATTATCTTAGAACTTCACATTGCTTATCTCCCATTTTGTGTAGTTTTTTCTGGAGTTTTGATCTGTTCTTTCATTTGGGCCATATTTCTTTGTCTCCACATTTTGACAGCCTCCCTGTGTTTGTTTCTATGTATTAGGTAGAGCTGCTTTGACTCTGTCTTGGTAGCATGGCCTAATGTAGTAGGTGTCCTGTAGGGTCCAGTGGCTCAGCCTCTCCTATCCCATAAGCTGGGTACTCAAGATGTGCCTTCTGTGTGGGCTGAGTACTCCCTCCTCTTTTAGATGAGTCTTGATTGCTGTCAGTAAGTCAATGGGAGGGATTTGCCCAGTCCAGACAGCCGGTAGGACTGGCTGTGACCCCTGGCCAGCAACCACCTCCCTTTGTGGCTTGTGGAGGTGGTTGGGTGGTGCTCTGACGTGATCTGTAACTGTCCGCTGGGTGCGCAGGCTCTGGGGTTTCCCAGGTGCCCATGGACATGAACAAAGGAGGGGGGATTGCCAGAGGGAGTGGGGAGTGCTGGATGAAGGGGGGCACAGGGGGAAAATTGGGACAACTGTAATAGCATAATCAATAAAAGAAAAATTTTACAAAAGGTACTTCACATTGGCATTAGCTGTAGATATTAAGTGATAAAGTGCTAACCAATAAATATGATTTGAATGACTTGTATTAACACTGTATAGGAATTCAACTTAAATGGGAGAAAAAGGTGTTTTTATCACCCAATCTTAATTACATTTTAACCTTATTATTTAATATCAGGAGGGAAAATCTTTTAGTCTGATGTTTTGAAAAAATAAAATGGTTAAAATCCATTATTATTGCCTTCCTAATCTCATCCTCCCCCCCTTTTTAAAAAAAATTTCAGGTGGGTATAACCCATATATAGAGATAATTGAACAACCCAGACAGCGGGGAATGCGTTTTAGATACAAATGTGAAGGGCGATCAGCAGGCAGCATTCCAGGGGAGCACAGCACAGACAACAACCGAACATACCCGTCTATCCAGGTAATAGACCATTCTCCTGCATGTGTCTCATTCTTAGTTGCTTCTTACTTTACCTACAGCAATTACATTAAAGGCCCACCTTCTTTACAGTCATTTCTCTGGGGTTTTCTCCCCCCGCCTTTTCTTTGTAAATAATTTACACTAGATAGCGGTCTAGGGTCACTTCTTAAATATAGTATGGATTCTTCATCCCTGCAGATAGTTACTCATTATTGTTTGTGTTAATATACGTAGAAGGATTCATAGTGGTTAGTGTACATTGGCAGCTTTTGGGCAATGATTCCTTTCATGAAACACAGCGCTCATGAGGAAAAAGAAGTCTCTCCTGCAAGAAGTGAGCAGAATTGTTCTGTAGATTAAAAGCAGGGATTGGGAACTCAATTAGAATTCTTCTTGGAATCGCTTGGATAAACTAGAGGCTGTGAGGAAGGAGAATAAGCATTTTGCCCCCTTTTGCCTTGCCTTTATTGCCTATCCCTGATACTCTGGATTTCACTGACTAATTTGAAATATAATCACTTTTAAAATTGTTGATCCAAAATGACTTGGTAATATACTATATTTGGTAATACACTATATTTATAAAATATATTGATATATTGTATTTTATTTTGTTTTTAATGAATTTTTATCCTTTAAATACCAATTAAAAGCGTTAGTGGCAAAGTGGATTTTGGAAAGTGTTATTTAGTCTTTAATCAACAAATCTTAATTCACTGTTTTATAACTAGATTATTTACAAAATTTCTTCTGTAGAACTTAAAGGGAATGCTAAATTATAAAAGAAGGCAATGGCAACATTGAATTCCAAGTTCCTAATTTTTATCACATTTTTTGGCAGCAATATGGATTAGAGTTATCTAAGTCCTTTTACTTAAATGTTAAAATGGGAGAAATGCTAATAAAAGGTAAATAAGAAAGAACTGTTCTTCTAATCTTTGAAGAGCAATTATTAACTCTTCCCCATAATTCATCTTATTCTTCAGGCTTTCTAAAATATTTCTAAGATCTCTATCTTTACCATTCCAGGAGGTCCTGAAGACTTTTCATCTTGAGTTCTGCATGAGCCCCTATTGCAATTTTAAGTGGTTATTCTCTCTTTTATTCAAAAAGGCAATAAATCCTGGTTTCTTTTCAAATTAAGTTTAAATTCAGAATTATGGATTTTAGTGTTCTCTCACCTGTAAAGCTACCCATTGTTACCTAACTGCCTTGCTTCATTGTTATAAGCTGGTTTTTTTATTCCCTGCTGTGTGTTTGCAAGTTTGCTAGCTTCCAAACTAAACATTAGTTCCTCCCATGTCCTCTTTCCATGCTTAACTCTCCTCATTATTCTCAGTGCTTTAGATGTACTTACTGTGTGAAAACAATTTTGTGAAACTCAACTTATTGTCTACTGTACAGTGAACACTTGGGATATGCTTACTGATGAACAGATATTTTTGTGAGATGAAATGTCATATTAAGTAAAATGGTCCTATGCATTGGTGTACTGTCATATTCAGTGTGGCTTAAATATATAGTTTGAAAGGATGTTTATGGCATGACAGTGAATCTAAGAGCATGGCATTCAGTGACTTAACATCCAAGTATTTTCTCATGCTCTGTGATAATGTTTTGGTATAATATTACTTGTTTTTAAAAGGAAAATAAGCAGAAGCAGATGATACGATCAATGGAAATTAATATGCCAAGGAACTGAGAGGTAAATTCTTCCCTACTGGTATTCTCTGGGAAGTTTCATCTAAAGTGCAATTGCCAGCCAATTGGACTTCACTTATCTAGTGCTAACTACATTATATGAGTTGAATTCTCATTTATTAGATCAGCTCTTAATGAGAAATATTTATGGATCATCTCTTTTATTTCCCCCCTTTTTCAGATTATGAACTATTATGGAAAAGGAAAAGTGAGAATTACATTAGTAACAAAGAATGAACCATTTAAACCTCATCCTCATGATTTAGTAGGTAAAGACTGCAGGGATGGCTACTATGAAGCAGAATTTGGACAAGAACGTAGGCCTCTATTGTAAGTATACATCACAGCCATCTTCAGGTACCAGATAAGCATAAGATGCTCTGTTTCCTGTCCATATACATGTGCTATATTTTAGCAGAATAAACTAATTCCTCGTTATACTTCTATTTACTGTAGTGTACATTTACATTCTCTTACCATTTGCATTAGAAGCACCCTTTCATTCTTTATTAGTAGATGTAGTTCATGATGGTAGCAGGAATACTTCTTTATTGTTACCTGAAGTCAACATATTGAATATATTATTTTATGGTGTCATTTCTTTTCTTAGTTTGAACAATTTATGAAAAAGTTTTGTGTTTCATAAATTTTTACTTTGTCTCTCTATTAATAATTAACTTTAAAATTGCCAGATGTTAGAAAATCAACTAGAAAACTGACATTATTATTTAGAAAAGGACAGGTAATAAAATTAACATACAACAGTAGTTCTAAGATTAAAAATTATGTATCACTGTGTTGGTGAGGCTGCCAGAAGATGGGTCCATTCACTATGTTGGTGGGGGGAAAAATTAAACCTTTCTGGTAGGCAGCTCAACAACTACATAGCAAAAGTCTGAAAAACATGAATGTCTCTTGAACTGGCAATTTTACTTCTGGGAATTTATCCTCAGGAAACAATTAAACATGTTCGGATAACCAAACATACCCATCTATCCAGGTAATAGACCGTTCTGGACCATATGGTGATATTCACTGCAGCTCTGTCTGTAAAGACAAAAAGTTAGAAGCAATCCAAATGATAAAGGGAAATTAGTTGAATAAACTGGTCAATCTATACAGTGTACTCCTATGTAGCCTTAAAAATAACATTGCCAACATGTCTTTGTATAGAAAGATATTTACAATGTTAGGTAAATTAAATAGGTTTAAAACAGTATGTGATTAATAATCTTTTTATCTAAAACAAATGTGTACATATGCATGACAGTATATACACTAAAGGATTAATAATAGTTGTCTCTGGGTGGATAGGATTGTGGGGTTTCATGTTTTTCTTTTAACTTGTTTTTACTTTATAATTCATTTTTTTAAAAGATTTTACTTTATTTTTAGAGCGAGGAGAAGGGTGAGGAAAAGAGAGGGAGAGAAACATCTATCAGTTGCCTCTTACACACCCAAAACTGGGAACCTGGCCTATGCAACCATGTGCCCTTCGACTGGGAATCGAACTGGCAACCTTTTGGTTTGTGGGATGATGCCCAGCCCACTGAAACCACACCAGAAAGGGCTACAATTCATTTTTTATAATAAACATGTATTAGGTTTAGGGAAAAATGAAACCAATTACAACAGGAAAAAAATAGTTGCCTCCTTATATATTAGTAGTAACCATTTAGAAAATATACTTTAAAATATTTTTCTTACAATAAAAACAAAATAACTCGTAATACAAACTTTTTTTAGAAAAGGACAGGTAATAAAATTAACATACAACAGTAGTTCTAAGATTAAAAATTATGTATCACTGTGTTGGTGAGGCTGCCAGAAGATGGGTCCATTCACTATGTTAGTGGGGGAAAAAATTAAACCTTTCTGGTAGGCAAAGAAATATTTCTTATTTCTATTATTTGACCTCCCAGCAGCATTTTACACTGTAGATCACTCCTTCCTAAACATTCTGAGTCCTTGATTTCTCTGGGAAAAAACTCTCCTATTTTCCTACTTTCTGGCTGTTTCTTCTCAATCTTTCAAGCATTTAACTTTTTGGACCACCTCTCACACAGGTGCATACATGGAATTTACTAAAAGTACCTCCTAAATAGTTCTTGAGTCTATTCAGTTGTCTCAGTGACCTCCATCACTACCACACTACTATTACTATAGTCTGAATGTAGGCTGTGAAGAATAGCCTTCTGACTGGTCTTCTCACATAAGCTCTTTTGGTGTCTGTTCCTTCCCATTATGTCCTCTAGTTTAGCCAAAACAATCTTTTTAAAAGTTAAACTTTTTCATTCAGTGTGGTCTTTTCAAATACAAATCTGATTGTCACATCTCTGCTTAAAACATGTTACCAGCTTTATGTGACTCTGGGAATTAGACAACATTCCTTAAAAAGCCCGCATGACCCACTTGTATTTCTAGCTTCTGTTGTCCTGTGTTCTCCCTGAACTCTATATTCAAGTAACAAAGGTCTTCCTTTAGTTTCCTGCGCTCAACACTGCTCTCCTGTAGGGTCCTCTGCATGTTTTCCTTCTGCCTGAAGTCTCTTTACTCTCCTCTTCCCCTAGTTCACTTCTGTTCATAATAAGTATCACATCCTATACGCAGTCTCTCTGCCCCTCTGAACTGATTAATTTGCTCCCATCATAGGGCTTCCCATGGCATCGTGTACATCTCCTTTATAAAAATTGTCATGGTTCAGTTAGCATTTGTGTGTGTGATGGCTTAATGTCTGTCTAATTTAGTTGACTAAAGGTTAGCAAATTTTCTGTAAAAGGCCAACTAGTAAATATTTTAGGCTTTGCAGGCTATAAGATCTCTGTTGCAATTTTTCAGCTCTCCTGTTGCAGCATGAATGCACCTATAGGCAATGTATAAACAAATCCATTTAACAGTGTTCCAGTACAGTTTTACTTAAAACAGGTGGCGGGCCAAATTCAGATCCATGGACCATAGTTGGCCATCATGTGAGCTACATGGGGGGAAGGATTATACATCCCCATTAGTTTTCTAGAGTTTTTGGTACATGATAGGAACCCTGAAGCTCGTTGAATGGCTATAAATGAATGAATCTTTCATTCAGCTAATCTCTATGATTCTTGGTTTCCTTGTGTCAGAATTTCAGAAATCTCTACTACTTCTAATATTCTGTGAATGGCAGTTATTTAAATATGGTTCAGACGAAACTAAATTAAGTAGTGTATAAATATATTGTGATGGAGGATTCTTTAAAATCTTTTGTCAAAGAAAAAGTGCAAACCAAGTTAAGATCTTTCAAAGAAGTGGAATACTTTTGAGGAAGAGGATTGTGGTTTTGAGGTTTCAAGAAAGGATTATGAATTTAAGATTCATTTTTTAATTACTGGCGTCAAGGATATTTTAGGTGCTAACACAAGTGTGGTGAATGTGAAGAGCGTGAATATGCGACAGCGTGAGCACGGAGGGGGCACACCAGGCAAGGCAGCCTCCTGGTGCAAATTGCCATGTGAAATTTGAACAAATAGTAATGATGTTATAATCGTTTTGCCTCCTTATTCACACCCACCCAACTTTAATGATGTCATGGTTTTTCCATGTGGGAAGAAGTATGACTGGTGGTGGTAGGGGAGTTCCCCCAACCATCATCTATAGTACACATGCAAATTAGTAATATTTGTAGCTATCGAGAAGTTTTCCATAAAGGACATTATAAAACTTGTTAAATATTATTGTTAGTATCAAACATCTTTCTAATTAAAAAAGCACATTTCAGTGCTTTCTTGTGTTGAATGATTATTATAACTTCACATAATATGGCATAAAATGTATTCCACTGCTACTAACAGTGAAGTCAGGGCTCAAATATCAGAAGTCCATGGCACGGAGTAGGTCAAGTTTGAGAGGACCAGCAGGCACCGCGGCAAACTGGAGAGCCCTGCATCAGCTCCACCTAGGGGTTTCTGTACCAGCCTCCTGTTGTCAGACCTTTAAAATGTTCAAGAAGCCAGAAATCCAGACATTTATAAGCAATTACCTGATTTTTAAATGTTGGCAGTCTATGAACATTTTTTTAAATGTACACAGTATTTTTATGGGCTCGACAAAATATACCTGTAGGCCTCAGCCTGTGGGCATCTTTTTACGTTTTTTGCTATACATTATCAATTATACAGATGTTACTGATTTGATAATGAATTTGTTCAGGAGGCAAATTTTGGCTTTTTGGTGTCACTTTCTGTTAATCCTCATCTACTTTGGAATATTTGGCAAAGGCATATTAGTAACGTATAATTGTAAAATACTGTATGCAAAAACTGTATAGTATATATTATTTTTTAAACAGTTTTCTTAGAAATATAACCCCACTTTTTTTACCCTCACATCTTTATCATAGCAGTTGGGAGTTTATAACATCCTTTACTATCTCCATCTGAGAGTATGATGACTCTTCACTGTTGGGATATATGCTTGATACTTGCAGTATTCTTTAGTATTTTTGTGTTTAACTATAATGCAGTTTGAAAGTTCTGTTTTCCTTCCAGTTTTCAAAATTTGGGTATTCGGTGTGTAAAGAAAAAAGAAGTAAAAGAAGCTATTATTTCAAGAATAAGTGCAGGAATCAATCCTTTCAATGGTAAGTATGTTTGATATAATCATTTCTGTTATTTGAATATTGACTTATTTGTATGATTTCTACTGGTATTTTAAACCTGTGTTTTAACAGCTATTTTAAGTTCTGTGCTCATTTTTCTACTTGTTGACTTATGCCTACATCTGAGTAACGAAGCAATTTAAAATTTGTTACAATGTTGAAAAAATATTTCTTATGCTTTCTTATATCAGTGGAAAATGCCATACTTCTATAAGAAAAGCTCAGAAATGTTCTTTTTTTACATTCTGGAAAGTAAAGCTCTTTTTAATTGAAGTATCATTGATATGTAATATTATATTAGTTACAGGTATACAAAAGTAGTGATTTGACATTTATATACCGTACAAGTGATCACCACAAGAAGTCTAGTAACCATCTGTCACCATGCAAAGTTATTGAGATATTACTGACTATATTTTCTGTGCTGTACTTACATTCCTCTGACTTATAACTATAAATTAGTACCTCTTAATCCCCTTCACCTTTTTTCCCGTGGCCCCCACCACCCAACCCGCTGGCAACCATCAGTTTGTTCTCTGTATCCACAAGTCTGTTTTGTTTGTTTGTTCCTTTGTTTAGCTCTTTTTATTCCACAGATAGTGAAATAATGCAGTATTTGTTTTTCTCTGACTTATTTTACTTAGCATAATACACTAGTTCCCATAGCTGTGCTTATATCTTTGCGAAATAGTGTTTTCATTTTCTTTGGACAAATGCCCAAAAGTGGAATTGCTAGGTCCTTCTTTGTCTCTTGTTATAACTTATTTTTAAGTCTGTTTTGTCAGGTATAATAAGTATTGCTACCCCAGCGTTTTGTTTTGTTTGGTTTCCATTTTAATGAAATATCTCTTTCCATTTATTTACTTACAGTCTGTGTGTGTCTTTTGACCTGAAGTGAGTCTCTTGCACACAGCATATGTAAGGGCCATTTTTTTTAAATTTATTTATTTATTTTTTCAAATACATTTGTCTCTGCCTATCCCGCACCACTTTCCCTTGCCCCCTCCCTCCCACCCTCCCTCCCTCAGCTCTTCCCCTTTGGTTTTGTCCATGAGTCCTTGCTATATGTTCCTTGACTTTCCCCTTCCCTTCCTTTTCCCCGCCCCCCTCCTTCCTTCCCTCTTGTCTCTGTTGGTTTCTTTTCCTTTCAGTGTTGTTGGGCTTATTTTCCTTGCATCTTTGTATTGTTGGTTAGGTTTCTCTTATAGGTGAGATCATATGGTATTTGTCTTTTGCCCCCTGGCTTATTTCGCTTAGCATAATGCTCTCTAGTTCCATCCATGCTGTCGTGAAGTTTAGTAGTTCTTTTTTTCGTTCTGCTGCGTAGTATTCCATTGTGTATATGTACCGTAATTTTTTGATCCAATCATCTACTGATGGGCAGTTAGGTGGCTTCCAACACTTGGCTATTGTAAATTGTGCTACTATGAACATTGGGGTGCATAGGTTCTTTTGTATTGGCGTTTTGGTATTCTTAGGGTATAGTCCCAGCAGGGGAATCACTGGATCAAAAGGCAGTTCCATTTTCAGCTTTTTGAGGAAATTCCGCACTGCTTTCCACAGTGGCTGCACCAGCCTGCATTCCCACCAACAGTGGACTAGGGTTCCCTTTTCTCCACAGCCTCGCCAGCACCTGTTGTTTGTTGATCTGTTTATGATGGCCATTCTGACCGGTGTGAAGTGGTACCTCATGGTGGTTTTGATCTGCATCTCTCCGATGGCTAGTGATGCTGAGCATCTTTTCAAATGTCTCTGGGCCCTCTGTATCTTCTCCTTGGAATAGCATCTGCCCAGGTCCTTTGCCCATTTTTTGATTTGAACATTTGTCATCTTGGAGTGGAGTTGAGTGAGTTCTTTATATATCTTGGAGATCAAACCTCTGTCTGATGTATCATTAGTGAATATATTTTCCCATAGGGTTGGCTCCCTTTTCATTTTGCTGATGTTTTCTTTAGCCATGCAGAAGCTTCTTATTTTGATGACGTCCCACTTGTATATTCTTTCCTTTACGTCCCTTGCTTTCGGAGACATATCAGTGAAAAAATTGCTGCGTGGGACATCTGAGAGTTTCCTGCCAATGTTCTCCTCTAGGACTTTTATGGTGTTGCGACTTATATTTAAGTCTTTTATCCATCTTGAGTTTATTTTTGTGTATGGTGTCAGCTGATGATCCAATTTCAATTTTTTGCATGTAGCCGTCCAGCTCTCCCAACACCATTTGTTGAAGAGGCTGTTATTGCTGCATTTTATTCTTCTGCCCTCTTTGTCAAATATTAGATGCCCATATAGACCTGGGCTTTCTATTCTGTTCCACTGGTCTATGGATCTGTTCTTGTGCCAGTACCAGATTGTTTTGAGTATAGTGGCTTTGTAGTAGAGTTTGATGTCCGGTATTATGATTCCTCCTACTTTGTTTTTCTTTCTCAAAATTGCTGCAGTTATTCGGGGTCATTTATGGTTCCATATAAATTTTTGAAATGTCTGTTCTATTTCTGTGAAATATGTCATTGGTATCTTAATAGGGATTCCGTTGAATCTATAAATTGCTTTGAGTAGTATGGACATTTTGATGATATTAATTCTTCCAGTCCATGAGCACGGTATATGCTTCCATTTATTTGTGTCTTCCTTAATTTCTTTCTTCAATGTTGTATAGTTTTCTGCATACAGGTCTTTTACCTCTTTGGTTAAATTTATTCCTTGGTACTTCATTTTTCTTCTTGCTATATCGAATGGTATTTTTTTTCTGATTTCTTCTCCTTCTATTGCATTGCTGGTGTACAAAATTGCCTTTGATTTCTGAATGTTGACTTTGTATCCTGCTGTTTTGCCAAATTCACTTAATTAGGTTGAGGAGTTTTTTGGTAGAGTCTACAGGGTTCTCTATGTACACTATCATGTCATCTGCAAACAATGATAGCTTTACCTCCTCCTTTCCTATTTTGATGCCTTTTATTTATTTTTCTTGTCTGACCACTGTGGCTGGGACTTCCAATATGATGTTGAAAAGAAGTGGTGAAAGTGGACATCCTTGTCGTGTTCCCGATCTTAGTGGGAAAGCTTTTAGTTTTTGCCCGTTGAGTATGATGTTGTCTGTAGGTTTTTCATATATGGCCTTTATTACCTTGAGGAATGCCCCATTTATTCCCATTTTGCTGAGTGTTTTGATCATAAATGGGTGCTGTACCTTATCGAATGCTTTTTCTGCATCTATCGAGATGATCATATGGTTTTTGTCTTTCCTTTTATTTATGTGATGTATCATGTTTACTGACTTGCGTATATTGAACCATCCCTGCATGCCTGGGATGAATCCCACTTGATCATGGTGGATAATCTTTTTAATGTATTGGTGAATGCGGTTTGCCAATATTTTGTTGAGGATTTTAGCATCTATGTTCATCAGCGAAATTGGCCTGTAGTTTTCTTTCTTTGTAGGGTCTTTATCTGGTTTTGGGATTAGGGTGATGCTGGCCTCATAGAAAGAGTCTGGGAGTCTTCCCTCCTCTTGGACTTCTTGGAATAGTCTGAGAAAGACAGGGGTTAGCTCTTCCTTAAGTGTTTTGTAAAATTCTCCTGTGAAACCGTCCGGCCTTGGGCTTTCGTGTGCCGGGAGTTTCTTGATGACTGCTTCAATTTCCCCAGCTGTTATCGGTCTGTTCAAGCTTTCTGTTTCTTCCTCCTTCAGTGTTGGAAGATTACACTTTTCTAAAAATTTGTCCATTTCATCAAGATTTTCAAATTTCTTGGCATATAATTGTTCATAGTAGTTTCTGACAGTCCTTTGTATTTCTGTGGTATCAGTTGTTATTTCTCCTCTTTCGTTTCTGATATTATTAATTTGGGTCCTCTCCCTTTTTTTCTTGATGAGTCTGCTTAAAGGCTTGTCAACTTTATGAATCTTTTCAAAGAACCAGCTTCTGGATTGGTTGATCCTCTGAATTGTTCTTTTCGTCTCTATGTCATTCAGTTCTGCCTCTAATCTTGACTATTTCCTTCCTTCTACTTGCTCTGGGATCTATTTGTTGTTATTTCTCCAATTCTTGAAGTTGTAGTGTTAGGTCTTTTATTTGAAATGTTTCTATCTTTTTAAGGTAAGCCTGTATTGCTATGGACTTCCCTCTCAGGACCGCCTTTGCTGTGTCCCATAGGTTTTGGACTGTTGTCTGTTCATTTTCATTTGTTTCCAGAAATTTTTTGATTTCTTCTCTTATCTCATTATTGACCCATTCATTGTTTAATAGTGTACTGTTCAGTCTCCATGAGTTTGCAAGTTTTTGAAGTTTCTCTTTGAGGTTGATTTCCAGTTTCAAGCCCTTGTGGTCCGAGAAAAAGTTTGGTATCATTTCAATTTTCCTGAATTTGCTGAGGTTTGCTTTGTGTCCTATCATGTGGTCTATCTTTGAAAAACTGCCATGAGCATTTGAAAAGAATGTGTATTTTTCTTCTTTGGGATGTAAGGTTCTATATATGTCAGTTAAGTCTCTTTGATTCAGTGTGTCACTCAGCGCCACATTATGTTTATTAATGTTTTGTTTGGAAGATCTGTCCATTTTTGACAGTGGGGTGTTGAAATCCCCTACTGTCAGTGTGTTGCTGTCTATATCTTTTTTGAAGTCATCCAACAATTTCCTTATATACTTGGGGGCTCCTATATTGGGAGCATATAAGTTTACAATGTTTATGTCTTCTTGATAGATTCTTCCTTTAAGTATTATAAAGTGCCCCTCAGGGTTCTTTTTATGGCCTTTGCTTTGAAATCTACTTTGTCTGATATAAGTATGGCAACCCCTTCTTTCTTCTCTTGCCCATTTGCTTGGAATATTTTTTTCCATCCCTCTCCTTTCAATCTGTGTAGGTCTCTTGCTCTGAGGTGGGTCTCTTGTAGGCAGCATATGTGTGGGTCATGTTTTCTTATCCATTCATTTTTTTAAACTCTATTCAGACACCCTATTCTTTTGAATGGAGCACTTAGTCCATTT